CAAAGGGAATGAACGTACAACTAGATGGGGGGATTTTAAAAAAGAGGGGGGGTCTCCAATTTAAATGGGACAGGAAGCCTTGGGGAAGAGACATCGGGCAAGGGAGGGGTGATGTATCCTCTACTCCAGTGGGGTGAGAATATTACAGCCCTCTTCCCCAAAAAACCCAGTTTGCTCTCAATGTGCATGAAAAGAAAAGAAAATACGTTCATCAAGAATCATCAGATACAACATGTAATCATAGTCATAGGTTACTAAAGCAATCAAAACATACCAGGAAAAACAATATAATCATAAAGATACAAGCAACAAGGTTATAGTCATAAGAAGAAAGAGAGAAGTAACAGGACCGATGAGAATAATAATAGTAATACAGCCTTAGTAAATAGTTGGACGGTGTTGAGGGAATTGTTAGTTTAGCAGAGTGATGGCGTTCAGGGGAAAAACCGTCCTTGTGTCTAATTGTTCTGGTGTGCAGGGCTCTATAGCGTCGTTTTGAGGGAAGGAGTTGAAACAGTTTATGTCCGGGATGTGAGGGGTCTGTAGATATTTTCACAGCCCTCTTTTTGACTCCTGCAGGATGCAGGTCCTCCATGGAAGGCAGGTTGGTAGCCATTGTTTTTTTCTGCAGTCCTAACTGCTCTCTGAAAATCTGTGTCTGTCTTGTTGGGTTGCAGAGCCAAACCAGGCAGTTATGGAGGTGCAGATGACATCCTCCATCATTCCTCTGTAGAATGTCCTTTAACGTCTCAATGTCCTCTTGAACTTTTATACCCACAAAAAATGACTCTTCTCCTCCTCCTCCTTTATACCCTTTTAAAAAATGACTTTCTTTGCAAAAAAAAACAAACCCCAAACATTATCTCCATCGGTTTCTTTCACCCTGTTTGGAGACACCTAATCTAAATGATTTTGGCTTTTTGTAGCATGGAGATACGTACTGATCAACCTTCACCTATGGCTTGTCTCCTGCAGGAATTGATCTGAAATCCCCGGAAAGGAAAAGGGTCAGTTTGGAAGATCTCTACGGGTGGCCCCCATCGGTGCAGGAGACTCATCCAGAAGATGGAGAAGAACGGAGAAACCAGCACTGTGCAGGATACTGGGGGAGGGGGAGAAAAAGTCCTTCCGGAAGGTCCAGCCCTGGAGAAAGAGGAGCCAAGAGACCAGAGCAAAGCTGAGAAAGAAGGACCCCCAGGTGAGTCCCCAGAAGTGAAGGACCACCAAGGGAAACCCAAGGATGATCAACAGAAACCACTGCACATCCAACACAGCTTCAGCTGCCCAGCACAAGTCAGCAGGTGAGATGTGTGAGATGTGCGGCTTGTGGGGGAGGAAAGGGCCCTGATGCCCTTCATTAGCTGCAGTGAGAACACAGTGTATAAAAAGGGAAGCTGCGCGCAGCAAGCTGTTGGGAGCAAATTGTGAATTATCTGGTATATTCAACGTTCTTCTCCGCTACATCCATTGGTTTGAGGTCCTTCTGCCAAGAGGTCCACCTGGGCAATGAGCCAAGCAATGGGGGCAGCTTTGAAAAGGCACCGGGGTGCATGTGCGAAGTTGAGTGAGAAGGGAGTCAACTGATTGGGTGATGGGGTGATTTCTCTCTTTTTTGGGGGTGGGTGGGTGGGAAGACTAGTGACTTCCCTGGAACTACTACAGTAGTTTGGCAGTTTGGATAGATCCTACACGGAGACTGTTCATCGTGGCTTTTGACTACGTGGGCTTGGATAAAGGCACACTGGGACTTTGAGAGGATAAGGACCTCTTACAAGGTGTGGAGGAGGAGGAGGAGGATGTGGTGGAGTTAACCAAGGGAGATGGAGAAGGAGATGTAGGAAGAGGAGAAGGAAAAGGAGACAGGAGGAGGAGGAGGAGGAAGAAGAGGAGGAGGAGAAGAGGCAGGAGATGGAAGAGGAGGAGGAGGAAGAAGAAGAGGAGGAAGAGAAGAGGCAGGAGATGGAAGAGGAGGAGGAGGAGGAAGAAGAAGAAGAGGAGGAGAAGAGGCAGGAGATGGAAGAGGAGGAGGAGGAGGAGAGAGATGAAGAGAAGGGGAAGGAGAAGGACCAGGGGAGACATGAGAGCAGTGTTCCAATATTTGAGGTGCTGTCCCAGAGAGGAGGAGGTGACCCTATTTTCCAAAGCACCATAAGATAAGGAATAAAGGATGGAAACTGAACAAGGAGAGAGATTCAACCTGGAAATAAGGAGAAACTTTCTGACAGTGAGAACAATCAACCAATGGAACAGAAGTGGCCTTCGGAAGTTGTGGGAGCTTCATCCCTGGAGGCTTTTAAGAAGAGACTGGACTGCCCTCTGTCAGTAATGGTGTAGGGTCTCCTGCTTGGGCGGGGGAGGGTTGGACTAGGTGACCTCCAAGGTCCCTTCCCACTCTATTCATTCTGCAAATCCTTTCGTGGCTTTTCTGCTGAATTTGGGGAGGGGGGGCGGTCTTTTTAAAAACCTTGCTTGAGGATCTGACTCGGGTCTCCCTGTTCCAGCTTAGGAGATATTCCAGAAGAGGCCTCGGAAGCCCCCAGCCCCCCCAGTCCCCCAGACCCCGCGGCTGCTTCCCCGCCCGCCCCAGAGCCTGCGCCCGGAGAGACCCCCAAAGAAGAGGAGGAGAAGAAGAAGGAGAAGGAGAAGGAGGAAGGGGCCCCTGAGCAGGTCCCAGGGCCGGCAGCCAAAGCCCCCAGCCCTGCCCCCCAAGAGAGTGAAAGGACTTTGCCCAAGGAGCCCCTCTCTCCGATTTCTGATGCTGACGGAGCCTCTCTGTCCCCAGGAAGCAAAGATACCACCAGCTCCGAGGAACCGGGGTGTAGCCCCTACCTCACTCCCGATTTTGGCAAAGAAGACCCCTCTTTGATCTTGGGTAAGGTTGTCAGGGAATCGCTCAGTGGTGGGTTTCAAAACTTTTTCCTTTTTCCTCCCAATAATTTTTATTGTTCTTTTTCACCTTTTTACACATCTTCACCTTAACGTTAACCGCACGGTGCCATCATTATTATATAAACCAATCTCATCTAAATATCTACATTTATATTCATTCATATACGTTTATCTATAATTTTCTTATTTCTGTTATCCGTGATGCCCCTGTCTGATTCGGAGGGGGAGGCTGTGGAAGAATCTGGGGAAGGGCAAAGGCTGGCTGGGCAGAGGAGGGGAGAGGTAGAACAAGGGAGAGGGAATTCGGAGGAAGA